CATGCACTTTGCCTTACAAAATCTGAGCAACCTTGGAAGGTAAGTTTACAGGGAATTGATTCAAACAGAAAAAAAGAAAATGAATAAATATATAAAGTAAAATAAAATGAAATAAAGACATTTTGAAATTATCTCCAATATGTCATGAATATCAAAAAGTTTCTTTTGTAGACAAAATGTTTATAATACATACTTCTCGGTTCCTGAACCGMTGGACTCAAGAAATAGCGCGGCGAAGGATCTTTTTCCATGGAGGTCATTTGGACAAAGGTATGCCAAACATGAAAATCATTCGGAATATTTTTTTTAGCGTCTGGCCCCACCAGGGAGGTTAATAGTCAGAATATTTTTGCATATAGCTAGTTTTCTTATAACTATCATATTAAAAAAGTTCAAGCAATTATACGGCTATTGTTTTTTGTTCAGGTATGGTCCTTTCCCTATGATGTACTGGCAATGGCAACGAATCGGAGACAACATGCAGCTTTGTCTTGCGGGTTTGAAGGAAGTCGACAGGTTTGTTGTAATGTGTTATTAATACATATAAATTCGAATATTCGAACAAGAAATCTTCAAATGTGCTGACCATTTTCTCGCCTAAGTGTTTGTTTCGCTGTTACTATTTCTATGCTTTGTCTTTAGTTATTTTTTATACAATAGATATAGTCTATTTCTACGTCGCTGTCCTATTCATGATCTGAGACCGTAAGTGAGTAGTAGCTGCGGCGCTCTACCTGTACCCCAACAATGCCTGCTTTAGAAATCCTCATACCCATTGAGGCTTACCAGTCAATTAGAAACATGTTTATGATGTATGTTAATACAATATTTATTTATGTTAATCAGACACGTTGTTAATGGAGAAATACTTGGTGTATCGTTACTTTTGGAGGATGTTCTTCAAGCTGGTCTTCCCGAACTGTTTTTCTCGAAACAAGAAGATGTAGACACCACCAGTGTAATGTCTGCGACTCCAAGATCTCGGCCAACCACMGGYTCTTTGAGAAGAGAAWTSAGTAGACATAGTGAAAGTGCTGATGATGGAGTATTYGAAAGAGAAAGCCAAACAAGCAATGCAAAGCTTTTCGATATCCCAAAAGGTTCCTTGTCGATAAGCAGGAAYCCCAAAGCTGCAGTAAAACTAGTCAATATGTTTTTGATGATTTGCTCAAGACTAGAGATTTTGAAGACGGATTGGAGTTGTAGAAAGCTTGGTACAAATGAAATTTCTACAACTGTTCAGTACAGAAAGTTTTGGTATGTTACCGTTCGAATGCAAACTTAGTATATCAAATTTTCTAAAGTGCTTATTATTATGATTATTATTCTAGTAAGCTATATAAGATTGAAGTTCTTCAGCCAGTTTATCAGCAAGTCGCCATGAAGCTTGGGCTTGTAAGTT